GGGAGGGGGAGGAGGAGGACGGCCTTTGGAGTAGGAACTGAGGTGGTAATAATGGAGGAGGAGGAAGAGGATGGCCTTTGAATAGGAACTGCCGTAGTAAGAGAGGAGAAGGAAGAAGAGGAGGAGCTTGGCCTATAGAATAGGAACTGCTGTGGTAAGGAGAAAGAAGAGGAGTAGGAAGAGGAGGAGGAAGAGGAGCAGGAGGAGGAAAGGGAGGAGGAGGAGGATGGCCTTTCAATAGGAACTGCTGTGGTAAGAGAAGAAGGAGGAAGAGGAGAAGGAAGAAGAGGAGGAGGAGCTTGGCCTATGGAATAGGAACTGCTGTGGTAAGGAAAAAGAAGAGGAGTAGGAAGAGGAGCAGGAGGAGGAAAGGGGGGAGGAGGAAGAGGAGAGGAGGAGGTGGAGGTGGAGGGGAGGAGAAGAAGGAGGTGGAGGAGGGTGAGGAGGAGGGAGAGTAGGGGGAGGAGAAGGAGGAGGAGGAGGAGGAGGTGGGCCTTTGGAGTAGGAACTGAGGTGGTAATAATGGAGGAGGAGGAAGAGGTTGGCCTTTGAATAGGAACTGCTGTGGTAAGAGAGGAGGAGGAGTAAGAGGAGGAGGAGGAAGAGGAGGAGAAGCTTGGCCAATGGAATAGGAACTGCTGTGGTAAGGAGAAGGAAGAGGAGAAGGGGGAGGACGGAGGAGGACGGAGGAGGAGCTTGGCCTTTGGAATGGGAACTGCGGTAGGGAGGAGAAGGAGGGAGGGAGGGAGGAGGAGGAGCGAGAGTGGAGGAGGAGGAAGGGAGGAATCAGGGTGGAGGAGGAAGAGGGAGGGAGGAGTAGAGGAGGGGTGGGAGGAGGAGGAGGAGCTTGGCCTATGAAATATGAACTGCTATGGTAAGTAGAAGGATGAAGAAGAGGAGGAGGAAGAGGAGGAAGAGGAAGAGGATGAAGAAGAGGCCAGCCTTCGAAATGGGAAGTGAGATTGTAATAATGGAGGAGGACTGGGAGGGGGAGGAGGAGGACGGCCTTTGGAGTAGGAACTGAGGTGATAAT